AAAACTGATTAAAGCAGCAAGTGAATTCAAATGTCAAAAATCTTACTCAGATTATTATTAAGAAACTACAAGGTATGAGTAGGACTTACTGAAGCATGGAGTTTTCTATGAGCTTATCATGTATTAGAACATGTGCCATACTTACATTTTCACTCCTTGTTATAGTAACTGTAGAAGGTTGAACTATCATTCTAATATTTACACTACTTAATAAAAAGATTATGTTTGCAAATCTGTACCTCCTCTCTACCCCTCCCACCAAAACTCATGGTCCCACACTGATTAGGATGACTTTAGGGCCATCACATTTCCTGACTCCAGAGAGTGCATTTATACTGAAGTCCCTTTAACTGATGACCCTGGGTGTGTGAAGCTCCTAATTTTCTGCAACTTTATTTTATAATCATTAAAGCAATGAAAAGGTAATATATAGGGCAAATAAAGATGATTTAACAGTCTGTCTTCTTTGACTTCCAGGGGCTCTTATCCTGTTCTGTTTATTCCCGGCATTGTTGGATGCCTTTCCCTCTTCCACTCCTTAGGTATCCTACAGAGTTTTCTTCTTGGTCTCCTGTTCTTTTTGAGTCCTTGACCAACTCACCCAGTTTGCAATCTTTAATGGTGACTTTATCTTCCATTCCTGTAAGAATGCTAAGCGTGCTAATCTTCATTTTCAGAGCTGTCTTTTCAACGTGATTGAGTGGAAAAATCCAAATAGTTCATCATATTTTGACCCAAATAAACAAGGTGATAAGAAATCAAATGGTGCCAGAATTGTCTATAGATATTTTTACACAGCCAAATACCCTAGATCAGATGCACTTGTGAACTTATCTTTGCTTAGTTTCAAGAATCCAAATAAAATAATGACATAGTTATTCATAGAGAGGTAGAATACAACACGTAGTTTTGTGTTGAATGTGTATAAATGATTTTTGCTATAAATGTCATATAAAAGGTTGTAACACAAAGTCCTAATGTTTAATTAATCCATATATCTATCAGTAGATAGATCTTAATTAGCTTTTCATAGATGTATAGTGTCTCTGACATCAAATATGTGTCATTTTTCTGTACCAATTCTCCAGTTCTCTGATTTTCCAGTACCAACCGGGCACCCAGCAAATTCTGACACCACAAGCTCCAGAGGTTAGGGGCTCCATCTCATAAGACTATCCCCACTTCAAACACCAGGCAAAAATGGAGTGCCGAGGCTACCTACACTTCTTCCCAGCTGACTACAAGTCAGGAGATCGCATGACCCCCTCCTCACATTCAGTAATTAACTAAAACAGCTCACAGAACTCAGAAAACTACTATAGTAATGTGCTTCATAATGGTGTTTTGTTTAATAGCAGGTCACATACACCATATTGGGCCCATAATGATATAATATCATATTTTTACTGTACCTTTTCTGTTTAGATATGTTTAGTTACACAAATACTTACCATTATGTTACAGTTGCTTACAGTAATCAATACAGCAGCATGCTGTTCAGATTTATGACCCAGGAGCAATAGGCCATTTACATACCATACAGCTTAGGTGTGTAATCAGCTCCAACTAGTTTTATGTAAGTACACTCTGATATTTGTACACTGATGAAATTGCCTAACAACAAATTTCTCAGCACATATTCTTGTCATTAAGTGGCAAGTGACTATATATTTACCATTACAATTTACTATAAATAATATAAATGAATGATCAGATGAAGAGGTACATAGGACAAGGTCCAGAAGGGTCCACAGCACAAGAGCCTCTTCCCTGTGGAGTCGAGTGTGCCACCTTCCTGACATGTGAATATGTTCAATAATTCAGAAGCCCTCCAAGTTCCACAATTTAATGAATTCTATGGAGGTTTTATTACCTAGACATGATTAATGAAATCATGGGCCATTGATGATTGAACTCATTCTCCAGCCACTCACCTCCCTGGAGTTAGGAAGGCAAAGCTGAAAGTTCTAACTATAATCACCTGGTTAGTTTTTCTTATGACCAGCCCTCATTCTCACCATGAGTCACCTCATTAGCATACAAAAGAGAATAAATTCCAACGGTTTTAGAACTCCGTAACAGGAACCAATAACAGAAAACATTTATTTTTATTATATACAATCAGAAATGAAAATTTTCATCTATAGATTCAATACAAATCCAATCAAAACCCCAATAAGTTATTTTGCAGATATCAACTGATTCTAAAGTTTATATGGAGAGGCACCCAGAGTAGAAAACATAATATTGAAAAAGAACAAAGTTGTATGACTGATATATACCTGACTTCAAGACTTACTATACAGCTACAATAGTCCAGACACTGTAGTGTTGGTAAAAGAATAAATACATCAGTAGAACAGAATATAGAGCCCTGATACTTTTTTTTTTTTTTTGCTACCATGCAACAAAACCTTTATTAACATTTTGAACAGGTTCAGCTATTACTGAAACTTGTAACTTCTAAACTTAAGTTGGGGCAAATGGCTATAGTGCAGAGTATTGTCATCACTGGGCACTGCGAATGCAAGACTGAAGAATTAACAGCCACCCCTCAGACGCAGGACCAGGTCTTCCAGCTGCTTGCCTGCAAGATGAGCCTCTGCTGGTCGGGGGGATGCCTTCCTTATCCTGGATCTTGGCCTTCACATTTTCGATGGTGTCACTGGGCTCCACCTCCAGGGTAATGGTCTTGCCAGTGAGGGTCTTCACAACGTGAGTTGTCTCTCAAAGCACAGTAGTAAATGACCGTAATCTTTGCCCTGATACGTTGGGTGTAAATAGAAGCACAGCTGGGGATTGAGCATGGCCAGGCGCATTGGAGCTTGGTAGCTCTCCTATCTAGAATAAGCCACCAAGACTGAACTCACCGATCACCATCTTCCCATTTACCTCATTCGCATTCCATTTCTCTCATTCAGTATTAGCTGATGATTTCTCCTCTTAAGTGATGAGAAAGTCAGCAGACTAGTCAAAAAAGAATCTTTATATAAAGTGTACATATTAATATAAAGTAACAGCATGCAACTTATGGATCAATGGATCCTGGGACCAACCTCCAGGAGTTTTTTTTTTTTTTTTTTTTTTAAAAAAAAAAAATGTTGTAAGGGTGGGCCTTGTCTCAGTTAGCAGACCTTGACCATGTAGGGGACCAGCTCTTTGTTGTCTACAGCCAGAGACCTTGGAAACAGCTGCTCCCAGCCCTCTGTTCTTGTAACACCCTTGATCCTGGACCAGGCCCTGGTGGTAAGCATTCACAAGCACATCTGCCTTTCCTTTTGTATCTCAGATACTATTTTTGCAAAGAAACTTCAGTGCTGTGAAAGGGGTGAGGGACATCCCTAAGCTGAAGAGAGAGACTGCTTTTCACTTCTTCAGTTCTGCCATCTTGTTTTCAAAGGGCTCCAGCCCTACTCAGTCCCTAATTATGGGACTGAGAAAAGCTTGGAAAGAATCTTGGTTTCATATAAGCTCTTGTTGTTAGGCCTTACTAAGAAGTAGGAAAGGACATGGGCAAAAGATAGGGATAAAAACCACCAACATATGCATGGACACACGGACACACACACACACATACACACACACACACACACACACACACACACACACACAGTTTTCAAGATGTATAGTCAGGAATGTGACTGTAAACTGGACTTTGGGGCACATGCATAAGTCCACTCCTCCAGGACCTTTCCTATTTATATGTCCCTACACGAAATCCATCTGCTTCTATACATAGCTGTTTTATCATCTGTAGCTTCATTCTATCCAGAGGCACAGCACATGAGCTCTGGGCAGGTCCCAAAGTTCCAAGCAGTCCTTTCCTTAAAAGCAGGGGTTTGCATGTGCTACCAACACATGATATGGGGAAGACCCACCCAGGGAGCAGTTTCAGTGGCACAACAAAGCACCACTTTTACTGTTGCCTACTTCTGACCAAGAAGAAAAAGGTCCTTAGTCTTTAGCATAAAATTCCAGCGTTGGATGAATGCAGGTCGTTTGGTCTGTGGCTAGCTAGTTTAAATATGTTTCTAACCACAGAGAATTTCATATATATACATATATATACACATACACACATATATATGTATAAAATTTCACAGGGATATGCTTTTTTTTTTAAAAAAAAAGACTGAATGTGTTCACCATTTAGCCTGTAGATTTATTTCCATTTTCCAATTTGCAGCACACAGAGATCCCAACCCCTATGTGTAGGGTGTTTGTGGACTACCTAATGGAATATTTTGAGGCCTGGATGAACTTTGCCATATGGGTAGAGGTTACAGAGGGAGGTAATATTTTCAGCTAAAAAAAAGCGGGTGGAGTTTGGACTGATCAACTTGAGATTTAAAGACTTCGATTCTTTTTGTTCTTTCTAGCATCTCTCCCCACCCTCTGAGAGCTCCTCAGGCTTAGATAGTGAAGTGATCCAATGCCAGTGTCATTTTGTACTTAAGTTCCAAAGTAGGAACATTTTATACTTTTTTCTGTATTGTAATAGGTAGTTTTGTATGAAATCTTTTCTCCCCTCCCCTTGTACCCCATTCTTTCCAGCATTGTGCTTTTTCCTGGGCTTATTTGAAAATTTTGCTGTTTTATACAAGCTCGTTTAGTACATTTTTCTATGTTTTACCACAAGTAACAATTTGAAAAGAAAACTATTTTTTTAAATGAAAAAAAAAAAGCCACTAGCAGAGTGGCTTTTTTTTTTCCTTCCAAGATTGTATTAAGAAATTAATGTAGCTGAATCACATCCTATATACTTTCCAGGTTAATATGAAAAGTTGATAATTTTTCTTTGAAACTTACAAGTAGAATCTGCAAATACATAATTTTGAGAATAATTTAATATGTTGCCTTGAAGATACAACTATATTGTATCTAATATACAACTCTATATGTCAGTATTTTAAAGAAATGGATCCTTACAAGACCAAAATAACCCAGAGGCCATGAGAGTGGTTTTTCCTTTTTTGTTGTTGTTTAAACAAATGTGCACCATGATTTGTTTTTGTGCCACCCCGGTGCGCGTCTACAGCCCATACCAAGAGTACTACGAGGTGGTGCCTCCCAACGCACATGAGGCCACGTATGTCCTCAGCTACCACGGGCCGCCTTACGCAGGCCCTGGTGTGACGCACGTCATAGTGCGAGAGGATCCCTGCTACAGCGCTGGCGCCCCTCTGGCAATGGGCATGCTTGCGGGAGCCGACACTGGGGCAGCGCTTGGTTCGCTCATGTGGTGGCCCTGCTGGTTCCGAGCCCTGGGACTCGGAGCACTGGCCCCTGCACTTAGACTGCAAGACCCCTCTTCCTCCTGGATCTCACCTTCCACCATCCAAGCCCTGTCCCACTTTGGCCCTATTGCCTCCATTATTTCCTTCCAGATTTGGACCATTCCGCTGACTCCCTACCCTCACTTCTCACATGGGAAGAAGCTATCATCCCAGGTACAAACATAGCTTGAAGTCTCCACATCTACTGCCAGACACCCCCAAAATCTGTTATAGACATTTATCGATGCATTTCTTCTAAACACACTAGGGCACAGCAAATACGACTTCATTTGGCCTGGAGTACCCCAGGCGCTGTCGACGCGACATGAATCCGGCTCTCATGGCTCTCTGCTCTATCCTCAGGGAGCTTCAGGCCTGGTAGGGAGAACAGGAGTAAACAAGCACTTGACAAAGCTGCAGAGTTATCAGTCCTTTGACAAGAACAGGTGGGGCAGGGAGCAAGGAAGGTAGGCTGGAAAAAACGGTTATTGGCAAGTGTGCAGAGCCATGAACGTCATCACATGTCAAAGGAATTAAATGCGAGTTTAATTACACACACCTTCAATGAGATGATACGGATAAGGAAGGAAAACTTAAATTTTCTATATTCAGTTGGATGGCTGTTAATATTTAATGTTACTTATGAAGAAATCCTACAATATTCTTCTTTCTAAAGTCCACAACAGCTAGACACCAGTGTACTCCCAGGTGAATGGGCACCAAAAGAATGTCAACAGAAAATACATCTACTTTCTTTGTCCAACGTTTCACTGCCTGATAACCAGCCGTTTTTAATTTAGTGAAGAAAAAGGTAACTTTTTTCTGTGGGTGTGGTCATCTACAAGCCACGAAGAGAAGCATCATCAGAAACCAAACCTGTCGGGGCCCCGTGCCCAGCTCTTTGCCTGCCTGCTCAGGCTGGGCACTCAGCAGGTCAGCCCCCTTCAGCTTCACACAGGGGCCAGCCACGCAGCCAGGAACCATTATGAGGTGCTGGTGCTGGGTGGGGGCAGTGGTGGGATCACCATGGTTGCCCGCATGAAGAGGAAAGTGGGTGCAGAGAATGTGGCCGTTGTTGAGCCCAGTGAGAGACATTTCTACCAGCCAATCTAGACACTAGTGGGTGCTGGTGCCAAACAACTGTCCTCCTCTGGCCGCCCACCGCGAGTGTGATTCCATCTGGTGTAGAGTGGATCAAAGCTAGAGTGGTTGAGTTGAACCCAGACAAGAGCTGCATTCACACAGACAACGGCAAGGAGATCTCCTACCAATATCTTATTATTGCCCTCGGAATCCAGCTGGACTATGAGAAGATTAAAGGCCTACCTGAAGGTTTTGCTCATCCCAAAATAGGGTCAAATTATTCAGTTAAGACTGTGGAGAAGACATGGAAAGCTCTGCAGGATTTCAAAGAGGGCAATGCTGTCTTTACCTTCCCAAATACTCCAGTGGAATGTGCTGGAGCCCCTCAGAAGATCATGTATTTATCAGAAGCCTACTTCAGGGAGACAGGGAAGCGATCCAAGGCCAATATCATTTTCAACACTTCTCTTGGAGCCATTTTCGGGGTTAAGAAGTATGCAGATGCCCTGCAGGAGATCATCCGGGAGCGGAACCTCACTGTTAACTACAAGCAAAACCTCATTGAAGTCCGAGCCAATAAACAGGAGGCTGTATTTGAAAACCTGGACAAACCTGGAGAGACCCAAGTGATTTCATATGAAATGCTTCATGTCTCACCACCAATGAGCCCACCAGACGTCCTCAAGACCAGTCCTGTGGCTGATGCTGCTGGCTGGGTGGATGTGGATAAAGAAACTCTGCAACACAAGAGGTATCCAAACGTGTTTGGGATTGGGGACTGCACCAACCTTCCTACGTCCAAGACTGCTGCTGCAGTAGCTGCCCAGTCAGGAATACTTGATAGAACAATTTCTCTGATTATGAAGAATCAAACACCAACAAAGAAGTATGATGGCTACACATCATGTCCACTGGTGACCGGCTACAACTGTGTGATTCTTGCTGAGTTTGACTACAAAGCGGAGCCGCTAGAAACCTTACCTGTTGATCAAAGCAAAGAGCGCCTTTCCATGTACCTCATGAAAGCTGACCTGATGCCTCTCCTGTATTGGAATATGATGCTAAGGGGTTACTGGGGAGGACCAGCGTTTCTGTGCAAGTTGTTTCATCTGGGTATGAGTTAAGGATGGCTCAGCACTTGCACATCTTGGATGGCTTCTGGGCCAAGACTGCAGTCACTGAATGACCAAGAGCAGCATGAGGACTTGGCACCTATCCCTGTAAAGGGATTCTTTATGGATAATGGTGACCAAATACCTCCCTTTCCAGTAACTTTGAACAGCCACTATGTGGGCTCCTCATGATGGGTTCGATTCTTTGGGAATAATAAAATGAAAGAATAGACTTTTATTTTCTGAATAAGAGTTTGTCACTGATCGTGTTGTATGAGAAAATTTTATCTAGGCTGGTAGGAATGAAAGGCCACAGCACTTGGGAGAGAACCACTGCACTCCAACCTGGGTGACAGAGTGAGACTCTGTCTGAAAAAAAAAAAAAAAAAAAAAAAAAAAAAAAAAATCCACAGGGGCAAGCCTGGCCCCTCCAGAACAGGCGCCTGATGTCCTTGGAAACCTCCTCCTCCTCCTGCTCCCCCTCCTCCCATTCACCCCCCAGAGTCTTCCAGTGGTGGACTCATAAATAGAAGTGCTTGAGTCGCACAGGGAGGGCCACTCCCTAGAGCTCCTGCACCCCTTGTAGTGTTGCTGTGGGTGGAGGGGGGCCCCAGAATGGCCCCCACCCCTGGCATCCTGGGCCTCAGGAAGGCTGGGGGGAAGGTGAGCAGATTCTCATGGCTCTGGCCTCAGCTCATCGCAGACCGACCGGAAAAGGGGAACTAAAGTGTCACAGTGTCTCCTGTCCGGATTCCTGACTGGCTTCCAGAAGCAGCTCCTCGAGCTCCTTCTTGTTCTTGGAGCAGCTCAGCTCGTGCTCCAGGCTGCAGCTGCCCTGCTTGGCCTCAGGCCCTGGGGGTGGCTCTGGGGGCAAAAGGTATGTGAGATGTTTATCCTCTCATCATCATTGTCAATCAGTTCATAAAAGTTTTGTGGGGTCTCTTCCCCCAGCGAATACCCCCCAAAAAGCAAGTAACTAGTTACTGTTATCTGTAAACAGTAACTAGTTTATTTTGTGTTAAAGTGGGAAGAACCTCTTTCTTCTGCCACTGGTGAGATGATACTAAAAGCAAGAGAAAATAACAAATGGAAGGGGCCTTCTTTTCTCCTCGTGTCTCAAGGCAGAGTAGAGATTGGTGAAAAGGGGACAGGAAGAGGAATCCAGCTGAAGATTGGAGGGTTAACAAAAGCGTCAGCAGGCATATCCTTAGAGAGTGTTTCTGGGTCACTCCCGGAATGACCTTATTTTTCTTAGTTACATTTGCTAGCTGCACAGTAACCTATAGCACAGCAAAAGCACAAGGAAGCACCGTTTGCTTTCATTTCAGTGCAATTATTGGTAGCAAAACCTATCTGAAGAATTACTTTTAATTAAAAGGAGGTTATTTTTAGGGTACCAGAAATTACTTAGCTGTATTCACTTACGAGTTGAGCAGTTAAAAATTTTTTTTTTTTTTTTTGCAGAGTAAAGCTTTATGTGAAATTCTGTAAATGTGTATAGAGCTGCCCATGGCCCCCTGTGCTGGAGGCCTTGTCTGTGGAGATGCGGAGGCTCAGCACTTGCTGTGGATGGCCATGCTGCCCTGCTCCTGAAACTCTTCCTTGCTGACTCAGAGCTGTTGGAAGGCCTGCAGGGAGGCCAGGATGGGGCCGCTGGTCCACACAGAGGTCTTCCTTTCGGGACTGGCAGCCACCACAGGGCTGTCCCCAGGGCAGAGGAGGCTCAGCTCCCTCTGGAAGTGCTCGGGGAAGCCATCCAGCATGGTGCAGCCACCACACAGCAGCACGTTGGTGACCATCGCCTCCTTGAAGCCCGTGTCCTGGCAGCAGCCCAGGCAGGCGGCCGTGAGCTCCAGGAGGCCAGGCTGGGTGCTGCCCGCCAGGGAGGGCTTGAAGAGCATCTCAGAGCAGCAGAAATGCTCCTGGCTGATGGTGATGAGCTTGCCGTCCGGGAACTCGTAGTCCACGCGCAGCTCCTCCTGAAGCAGGGCGAGCTCCTCCTCGGGCAGCAAGGCCACATAGCAGCACTTCTTCTTGATGTGCTCTATGATGTGCAGGTGGTCGTCAGTGAATGCGTGGCCCGCCTCGTTGAGCAGCTGCATCAGGTAGTTGGTGAGGTCACCCCCAGCTAGTCCGCGTGGTTGGTCAGGCCTGGCAGCACGTCGCCCTCAGAGATGGGCACCACGTGCGATACGCCATGCCTGCTCTCCACCAGGAGCCCTGAGGTCTTGCCATAGGAGTAGATGGACAGCAGCGACTGGGACGTCACGTGCATGGCGGCGATGCCAAAGGCCTCCAACATGAGCTCCGCGTACTTCTCCCGGTTGCTGCTGGGGCTGAGCGGAGGGTCCGAGACCAGCACAGCGTGCTTCTCGGGGACGATCTTCATGGCCATGCGGAAGATGTACTCCCAGATGTCCTGCACGCAGTCCCAGTCCACCACGACGCCGTGCTTCAGCGGGTTCACCAGCTTGAGAGGCGCCTCTGTGCTCAGCAGCTCATGGCCCACTAAGGTCTCCTTGCCGGTGTCACCGGCGTCAGCCGCCTCGGGGCAGCGTTTGCCCACTGTGGAGGAGATGACGTAGGTGGGCCTCGGCTCTCCCGCGTAGCCACACTTGCAGTCTCTTTTTTTTTTTTTTTTTTTNGATGGTTCTCAGTGGGCCCTCCCTTTCCCCACTAGTTTTGGTTTCTCTAATTTTTGTATTTTTAGTAGAGACAGGGAATCACCATATTGGCCAGGCTGGTCTTGAACTCCTAACTTCATAATCCACCCGCCTTGGCCTCCCAAAGTGCTGGGATTACAGGCATGAGACCACGCTCCCTGGCAAGACTTCTTCACTTTAAAGTCTTTGGTGCTGGGCACGGTGGCTCACACCTGTAATCCCGGCACTTGAGGAAGACCAAGGCAGGTGGATTACTTGAAGTCAAGAGTTCGAGACCAGCCTGGCCAACATGGTGAAACCCTGTCTCTACTAAAAATACAAAAAATTAGCTGGGCATGATGGCAGGTGGCTGTAATCCCAGCTACTCAGGAGGCTGAGGCAGAAGAATCACTTGAATCCAGGAGGCGGAGGTTGCAGTGAGGTGAGATCGTGCCATTGCACTCCAGCCTGGGTGACAGAGCAAGACTCCATTTCAAAAACAAATATCTTCTCCACTGTCCTTATATGCAAAAAAAAAGAAATGAATAAATAAAAATATCTGGCGATTGCTCCCTGGAGTCCTCCCTGCAGTTGTCCTCGGTAAAGCCTGCTTTCTGGCAGGTCTAGCAGCTGGTTTGTAAGCCTCACATTTAAAGTGTTTCCCTCTGCTGAGATTATTGGGATTTCTTGAGCTTTACCCCATCCCACTATTCCTGTTCTATAACGTTCTTCTTTTAAGAGGTCTCAGGCCAAGCCTGGAGCAGGAGCCCAAGGAGGGCAGTAAGCGGCTCCTGGGCTGGTGGCTGAGCTGAGGGCCCCTGTCCAAACTTCTTTGCTCCCCACCCCTGCAGCGCAAGCATCAGGAAATCCGAGCCATGAGAAGTCAACTCAAAAAGATTGAGGACCTGGGGGCTGCCATGGAGGAGGCCCTCATCCTGGACAACAAGTACACAGAGCATAGCACTGTGGGCCTGGCCCAGCAGTGGGACCAGCTGGATCAGCTGGGCATGCGCATGCAGCACAACTTGGAGCAGCAGATCCAGGCCAGGTACCTGGGAGGACTGTGCAGCCAGGCTCAGCCCAGAGCGGGGAGGAGGAAGAAAGGTCACCTGCAGTGAGGAGGGGTCTGCTCCCTAATTCTATTTTTCTTCTAGGAACACAACAGGTGTGACTGAGGAGGCCCTCAAAGAATTCAGCATGATGTTTAAGTGAGTTCAGCCCTATTAATCCTGGCTGGGTTGGGGGTGGTCGGCAGCAGGGCTGTGTGCTAAGCTGCCACTTGGCTTTGTGTTGCAGACACTTTGACAAGGACAAGTCTGGCAGGCTGAACCACCAGGAGTTCAAATCCTGCCTGCGCTCCCTGGGCTATGACCTGCCCATGGTGGAGGAAGGGGAACCTGACCCTGAGTTCGAGGCAATCCTAGACACAGTGGATCCAAACAGGTGAGGCTCAGGCCAGGTACTGTGAGCCTCCGCTCTGAGCTCCCGCCTGGCCTCCCTGCTCAGGCACTTGCCTCCCCTCCCCTCCCAGAGATGGCCACGTCTCCCTGCAAGAATACATGGCCTTCATGATCAGCCGTGAAACTGAGAACGTCAAGTCCAGTGAGGAGATTGAGAGCGCCTTCCGGGCCCTCAGTTCAGAGGGAAAGCCTTACGTGACCAAGGAGGAGCTCTACCAGGTACGGGCCCCGGGAGGTGGGTGAAGAGCTTTCCTTTGGAAAACTAAAGCCAAATTTGTGGCAGAGCTGAGTCTGGGGCAACAGGCCCTGCTAGGTACAGGAGTTTCCTCCCCACTTACAAATCAAAACCCAGTATGGGCTGAGGTCCTGGATCTGCTCGTAGGGGCAGCTCTGAGCCTTGAGCCCCCAGCATCCTGAGCCCTGGGAGGTCGGGTTTGAAGTGGATGCAGCTGGCTCAGGCACTGGGCACCATCCCTTCCCCCTAGAACCTGACCCGGGAACAAGCCGACTACTGCGTCTCCCACATGAAGCCCTATGTGGACGGCAAGGGCCGCGAACTCCCCACTGCATTCGACTACGTGGAATTCACCCGCTCACTCTTTGTGAACTGAGCCGCTCCCTGGTCACCCACCCCGCACTGCTTGCCCCATGTCGCCTTGCTGCATGTCCACTCCCATATGCTCGCTCTTTCCACAGTAACCTTAAGCCTGCTTAGCTTGGAATAAGACTTAGTAGAAAATGGTGCTTCACTAACCCGCTTCTGGTCCAGTCACAATCACCATGTCACTGTGGGGACCCAGATCCATGTCTTGAAGCAGCTGCCCTCATTCCGACTTCAGAAAAATCAAAGCAGCTGGCTCCCTGCCTTCTTGTTCTCCCTTCCTTCCTCCCCCAACTCTGTTTTCATGTAAAAGACAAATAAATGACAACTCTTCACCCAAAGCTTTGCTTTTCTTCATTCAGCTCACGTCAGGGCTCAGCACAGCAAAGCGTTGTGCCTGCCTCCCAGGACTTCTCAGGTGGCCACCTCCGCTGCCAGGCGGTACAGGTCCTCAGCTTTCTGGGGCCCTTGTTCCGTGAACTCCGTGCTCAGCTGCCACACCTTCACTGTGCCCTGGGCATTGCCCACAGCCAAGAGCTGAGTCTGCTGGCTGTTGAACTTCAGACAGTAGACAGGGCTTTCATCCTTGGTTTGCTTGATGGAAACTGTGGGTTTCTGGGAGCTTTTTTCCCTCAAGCTTCTCCTAAAGAAGGTTATGAAGGGAACTTCACTTGTGGCAGGTACCCGAGTGTTCAGTGCTGGTCACATGTAAAAAATAATAATAATAAATAAATAAAATAAAAAACATCCACCTGCGGTCTTCTTAAGCAACAGGCTCTTCCACAAGACAGTCTACCTGCAGTCTGCCCTGAGCAGCTCCACTTCTGCAGAGAAGTTCCCTTCACCGCATCCGTCTCCTGCCAAACTGAAGGCTGCTGCATCCAAAGGGGATGGGTGGGATTGGAAGGAGGCTGTGGCAGCTCTTTCCTTGTTCACCTCCCCCTCCTAGGGAAGGCAGGACCCACTCTGCCAAGGGCCCTCTGCATATTCCCTTCTCTCTGAGGAATTGGAGTTTTTGTCTCTGGTACACGTAAGGCAGAATGTTTCTGACACCAGTGTGTGGACTTTTAACATCACCGTGAGTCTGAAAGGACCACAGGTTTTTCTGCAGCTATTTTCTAGCATTTGCCAGTCCTTGTGCCTGGACTGATTTGAATACTTTGTTTTTCTCCCTGTGCCATTTACCCTCCCACCTTTCCATCCTGCCTTCTACCACCCTTGGATGAATGGATTTTGTAATGTGGGGGGGTTACCTACCCTGTGGCCAGATGCCAAATATTTGAGAGAAGGGAACTTTTGCTGAGGTTTTCTCTGAGATGTTTTGATGCTTTATAGGAAACTATTTTTTAAAAAGCCATTTCCCACCCCAGGACACGCTGGATGTGTTTTCTCTGACTCCAGCAGGGCAGGGAATGTGGCTGAGAAGTGGGGTGGGCTGGGCTCTGGTGCCCTCTTCCCTGGCCAGGCCACCCTCCTCCTCATTCCCTTGGCGCCTTGCCTGTCTGTCCACCTGTCCCCCTGCCTGCCCACTGTACCTCGTGCGGCTCACTGTGACTTCCACCTGGGGGCTGAGACCACCCTTGCCCGCCTCCTTCTTCCTGCCTAAAGAATGCCCTTTTAGGTTGGGCATGGTGGCTCATGCCTGTAACCCCAGCGCTTTGGGAGGCCGAGGCGGGTGGATCACCTGAGGTCAGGAGTTTGAGACCAGCCTGGCCAACATGGCAAAACCACATCTCTACTAAAAATACAAAAGCTAGCCGGATGTGGTGGTGGGTGCCTGTAATCCCAGCTTTTTGGGAGGCTGAGGCAGGAGAGTCGCCTGAACCTGGGAGGTGGAGGATGCAGTGAGCCGAGATCATGCCACTGCACTCCAGCCTGAACGACAGAGCGAGACTCTGTCACAAATACAAAAAAGAATGCCTTTTCACTGTCATGATCATTCCTCTTTGAGGGCATGCTGGAGTGGGGAAAGACGTCTCAGACCATAGAGGTCCCAAGACCCTTGAGATCATTGAGCCCAGCCCTGATGTTTCAGAGCAGAAGGCGGAGAGGGGAAGGGCTTGCCCACATCACACAGCAGGCGCTGCAAAACCAGGACCACGTCACCACTGAGGATGTCCCAGGAGGGGCCGTGAACGGAGGTGTGTGCGGTTTTTTTTTTTTTTTTTTTTTTTTGAGCTTCTACCATCCTGCATACTTTGCTGAAGACAGTGGCTCTAGATAAATCTTCCCATTGCATGGTACATTTGGCCTCTGAGCATAGCCATATGTCAAGAGAGTTCTGGGGTCCTCTCTCAGGGGCCTTCCAAGAGCAGGGCAGCTTTCACCAGGGATAGAAAAATCAGGATATTTTGGCAGCAGCTCTTCATGTTGCTGCCTGGCAAACTATGCACGTAGTCGACCCGTCCACCAGCCTGAAGGATCTTCTTTGATAATATCAATAATGTCATTGGCATTAAAGCTGAGTTCATCTGTGTCCTGAGCGTCATAGGCATACAAAGCCTCACATTGTGGCACCTGAGGCTTGGGCTTGGGCTGGGGCTTGGGTCTGCCCCCTGCTGGGGGAGGCCGACAGATCCTCACAATTGGAGGGCCTGCAGCCCACACACTGACTGATATATGGTATGTTATAAGTACTTGTCACTTTGGGTTAGGCTGGGCCACCACCGAGCCTGATGGTCCAACTTGGGTAATCTCTAGGGGGAGGGAAACTGAGGCATGAGGCAGCTACCTGGGTTTGGGGAGGGCTGGGTTTAGCCTGGTTCTCTGAAATAGATACCCTAAGCTGTGAAGCCTTCCTCTTGAAGGGTTGAGGTGGGCAGTGCACAGGTGCCAAGGAGCCCAGGGTGGGTCACAGCCCAGGCCCTTCTAGGGTGTCACTCCTTTCCCCCTTGCATTGCAAGAAGCCCTCCTGCCTGGGAGCTTGTTCTTTGGAGGGTGCTGAGCCTAAATTTGCCACAGTCAAGTCAACATTCCTGCCCCACTGGCTTGGTTACAGGACTCTCACGTGGGGGAGGGGAGCCCTGTAACCGCCTTGCACATTCCCCTGGATTTGCTATTTTGCACTCCTAACACCTGTCAATAAAGACTGTCTACACTGAAAAAAAAAAAAAAAATAGCTAGTGACCAATTTTTTTTCTTTGCTCACATTTAATTTTTATTTTGATTTTTTAATGCTGCACAACACAATATTTATTTCATTTGTTTCTTTTATTTCATTTTACTTCGTTTGTTTGCTGCTATTTTATTTATTTTTACTGAAAGTGAGAGGGAACTTTTGTGGCCTTTTTTTTTCCTTTTTCTTTTTCTGTAGGCCGCCTTAAGCTTTCTAAATTTGGAACATCTAAGCAAGCTGAAGGCAAAAGGGGGTTTCGCAAAATCACTCGGGGGAAAGGAAAGGTTGCTTTGTTAATCATGCCCTATGGTGGGTGATTAACTGCTTGTACAATTACGTTTCACTTTTAATTAATTGTGCTTAAGGCTTTAATTAAATTTGGGGGTTCCCCTCTTAGAGCAGCTCGTACTGACGGAGGTGCATGCGCTGGATGATGTCACGGCAGTTGTTAAACACACGGCGGATGTTCTGTGTCCACAGCGCAGGTGAAGTGAGGGTAGCCGTAGTGGCGCCCATCCCCACTGGCAGTGCTGATCCTCAGAAACGCATCTCGAATGAAGTACTTGGCCCGGGTCACACGTGGGTCCTCTCCAGGCTCGGGAGTAGCATCCTCAGGAGTAGTGTAGCGAGCAAATTCTGGAAAGGAGTCCTCAATCTTCGATTTCCCAGCAAGGACTTTCTCAGCGAGCAGATCTTGCTTGTTGAGGAACAGAATCACAGAGATGGTACGCAGCCACCTGTTGTTCCAGATGCTCTTGAAGAGGTTCAGAGCCTCCTGAAGGCGGCTGGTCTGATCGTCGTCCCGAATGACCATGTTGTAGCTGCTGCTGGCCACCACGAAGATGATGGCAGTCACATCATTGAAGCACTGGATCCACTTGCAGCGTTCATCACGCTGGCCACCCACGTCAAACATGTGGAAGTTGACTTTGTCCACCTGGAACTTCGTCTCAAAGATTCCAGAAGTCAGGACGCAGCGAAGCAGGTCCTGGTCGCTCGGCACATAGTCGGCCTGCTTGATCACATCGATCTTGTCCAGGAAGTACTGGGCACAGTCAATCAGCTGGTACTCGTTGAAGCGCTGGTAGCAGGCACGCACTCCTTCATCCTCCCACAGAGCCTTGGCACGCTCATAGAATTCGGGAGGGAAGTCGAAGTCAGGCACGTTCATCACACTCAGAATGTAGTCTACTCTGAACTGGTTCTCAGGGTTGGCCAGCTCCACAGGGGGCACCAGGTTGCTCGTGGCGGCCACAATGGTTTCGATTGCCTCTTTCAGGTTGTTTTTGATGTCCTGCACTTTGGTTGCCTTCTCACCATCGCTGTTGCTCCTTGCAGCCTGCGGGTCCTCTTCGCCGCCCTCTCCATTAAACCCATTAACATGCAGGATCCTCATCTGCTTCACAATGGTGCTTTTACCAGATTCTCCAGCACCCAGCAGCAGCAGGCGGTGCGTGGCCCGGTAGACCTGCTTGTCCTTCTGCAGCTGCTTCTCGATCTTTTCGTTGGCCTAGCGCTGCGCCTTCTCCTGGTTGCGCTGGTCCTCGGTCTTACTGTTCCCGAGGCAGCCCATGGCGGCAGCGGCGGGCGCGGGCGGCCGGGCCGGGGCAGCGCCCGGCGGGCAGCCGGGGGCGGACTGGGCTCCTCTGTGAGGAGCGCCTGGGGCAGACTACTGGGCGCCGGCCGCGGGCCGCGGGGCGCGCGGAAGGGCGCGAAGGGGAGGGTGGTGTCAGTCAGACCAATGGGCGCGTGCAGCTCCCCGCCCCTGGAGCGGAGGCAGAGGGGCTGATGGCCGCCGCTGGCCTAGGCGGACCAGAGCAGGAGCTGCAGGAGCTGCTGCAGCGGCTCTTATTGCCTCAGCCCGGGCCCCCGCCGC